CTTGCTTACTTCTTGAGTCTGTTTGTACTGTGATCTCTATATATATACCTGCATGTTTACTCTTGTTAGGTTGTGATCATTGTACCTTTTTCTCTATTATAAACCTGCAAATGAACTGGTCTTGTGACCACTTGCTTGTGCTCGGAATTTGTGTGGTATCCTTGAGATCCACCCTGAGCTTGTTTTGCCTTGCTTTGCCTTGACTGGTCTTGTGACCCCTAGTTCTCCCCCACTTTGCCTATGGGGGTGTGTCAAACATTATATATGTTGTGTTAGTTTAGGCTACAGTGGGTTAGCCTATAGGGGGTACACAATTCTAGGGTTAGGTACTTGTACTCATTTCACTGCTAGTTCATCCATTCCTGTTCAGTGATTCCAACAGCAGTTCCCTCAGTAGTGAGTACGCGGGTACCCAGATGCGGTTGGTGCTTGTTTTTACGTAATAGACTCCTTTGGCCTCTGCAAGTTGCTGTCAATTTCCGGTCGTGAAAAACAGGTCCGTACTGTATCCGTGGGTAAATAGGCATGTTAACGGTGGGTTGGTTTGGGCGAGTAGGATGGCGTGGAGTTGGGCGGTGGGGCGTGAGTGCGTCGGCGATGTTGGATGAGCCTTTTTTGTACGTGAAAGTGTAGTGGAAGCTGGACTCCAGATAGTCCAACCAGCGGATCTGTCGTGGGTTGAGATTCGGTTGGGCGCGAAGGTACTGTAGGGATCGGTGGTCTGTCCGTACTGTCACGTCTGCTCCAGTGAGGTAACATCGCCACACTTTGAACGCGTGCACTATCGCCAACATCTCGCGGTCGTGTATTGGGTAGTTGCGTTCGGACAGGTGAAGTTTGCGGGACTCGTAAGCGATTGGCTGGAGGCCGTTCCCGAAGTCCTGCAACACTACTGCTCCTACAGCAATGTCGCTAGCGTCGGTGACGAGCTCGAACGGGCGGTGCGGATCTACGATGTGAGGTACGGGTGTCGAGCACAAAATATTTTTGAGGGCCGAGAAGGCAGCTTGCTCTTTCTCCCCCCCACATGTACTCAACCCCCTTCCTCAGCAGGTCGGTGAACAGGGCAGTCAGGTGCGCCATGTCGGGGACGAACCGACGCACGTAGTTGACGAACCCCAAAAAACTCTCTGCAACTCGGTCAAGTTAGTCGGCGTGTGCCATGCTTGAATCATCGCGATATTTTTCGGGTCTATTTCCACTCCTGCAGCTGAAATAATGTGTCCCAAAAACTCCAGTCGGTCTTGTAAAAACTCACACTTGGACGCTTTTGTCAATAGGCAGTTCTCACTCAGTATCATAAAAACTGCTTCGATGTCCTGTAAGTGCTGTGCTCTGTCGGGGCTGTAAATCAGTATGTCGTCAAGGTACACGATGACGCACTTATCTAAAAGCGGGCGGAAGGCTTCGTTCATGGTCATTTGAAAAGTGGCGGGGGCGTTGGTCAGTCCGAAGGGCATGGCGATATATTCGAAGGATCCGTAGCGTGTTCGGAAGGCTGTCTTAGGGCAGTCGGGTGGGTTGACGCGAATCTGGTGGTAACCTCCCCAAAGGTCGTTTTTGGAGAAAAGCCAGGCAGTGCGCAGTTGGTCGATCAGTTTGTCGGCTCGAGGGATGGGGTAACGGGATTTTATGGTAACCCTGTTCAGTGCTCTGTAATCTATGCACATGGGAATGATAAGAAACGAGTAATGTGAAATGAGAGGGAAGAGGGGGATCACTAGCAAACATTGAGATACATATAGCAAACCCTAAAGGGTTGTACTCACTATAGAGTACCCCACTGCAGACTAGAGAAACATAATATTCTGACAGGGAAAACCCCCGTCCTTTTTCGGTGTGAATAGTATCGGTGCTGCGAAGGGTGACGAACTAGGGCGAATGAACTCCTTCTCGAGCAGGTAATCCAGCTGCTTCCTCAGTTCGTCCAGTTCGAGTTGGGTCAATCAAAAATGTCGCTGAACTGTTGGCTGTGCCCCCGGTTCTAGTTCTATCCTGTGGTCGTGCGATCGCTGAGGTGGCACTCCCGTTGGTAGGTCGCCCGGAAAAATGTCACTGTACTGCTTCAACAGTGCTGCCAGATCAACCGGTACGTTGGCTAGCAGTTTCTGTAAATCCCCTCCTTTGTCTGCTGCCTCGACTTCCCGAATGTCAACCGCGTACACGTCAGCTCCTGCCGCTACAGCGCGTTTCATCGTGATCGCGTTGACACGCACCGACGAAGACTCAGGCGAGCCCCAGCGAGGTAAGGCGATGTTGTTACCGTTCACTCGCACGGCGCAGTCACCCATCGTCCAGTCGATTCGCGGATTGTGTCGTCGCAACCAATCACGGCCGAATAACATATCGGTTCCGTCGAGGGTTGTTGCGAGCTTTTCCTGGCTAAACGTGAAGTTACCCCCGCATCGAATCCGAACTCGGTCCACACGTTCCCGTATCGCCAGTGGCGCGCCGTCAACTAGTCTTGCGTCGATCTCAGGTAAACATCTGTCCAGTGGCAGTCGTAGTTTTCGTGCTGTGGTAGTGTTGATAAGGCTGTGGCTGGCTCCCCCGTCTACGAAGATTTTAACTAAGTTGGTCCTGATTTTCCCACTAAGCAGTATGGGGCTGTCTACAGTAGTACCCTCCTTATTCGGCCGGGTGTGGTCGATTGCGTGAACCGGCACAATCACTCGGTGAGGGTCGGTTGGGTCGGGCGAGCGGCGTGATTCGTCAGTAAAGGGCCCGTCTGCTACTGACTCCCAGCGTTTCCCTGCTGCTTGGTCTGTTTCTGCTGCTCAGCTTCCCCCTTTCCCTTAGCGTTTTCCGGGCATTCGCTCTTACGGTGTCTTAACCGATTGCACGCAAACCAGCGCCCTTTGAATGGTGCGGCAGCGGCATTTGCGGCGACGGCACGTACCGTAGCGCCCTCGTTTGTCCCACGAGGCCGATGTCCCCAATTGCTGCTTCCGTAGGACCCCGGTCCCGGTCGGCGGAAGAAGTCGAGTTTCTCCGCCATAGCAAGAATTTCTTGAAAGTCGGTGACGCCGCAAAGCTGGATTTCCTGAGCGATGTCCTGCTTCAGGCCGCCGATCTAGCGGTCGATGCGCTCGCTCTCGTGCATGTATCCCACCTGCTCGCATAGCGCCATAAATCCGCTCGTGTAGTCCTGGACGGAACCGAGTTGGCGCCAAGTGCGGAGCTTCTGTCGTGCCGCGATCGAAGCCGCGATTGGCTCGTAACGAGCGCATAGACCTGCGCACCACGCGTCCCACGTGCGATACTGGGGCACCTCCATGAAATACGACGGCGCCCAGGGTCCGGTTTGTCCTTCCCGTGTCGGTAGAGTCGCGTAGTCCACCGGCTTCGTGACGATGACACGCCACCAGTCCATGGGGAGTCCTCGCAGCAATGACACGGCGTAGCAAATCTTCGCCGTATCCTCCGAGACGTAATTCGCGTCGAAGAAGAAGTTCAACGTAAATAGCCACGCCTGAACGGTAGGACCACCCCGTTGACTCGGGTCAAAACACACCGGACGCTGCGGCTTCAGCGGCATCGGCGACGGTAGAGTCGATTCGCCGGCCGGCACGGACATCGTGTCTCGAGGCTGATTCCTGGCCGCATTCGTCGCGTTGGGGTGTGTCGTGCTGTGGTCGTCGCGTTGGGGTGATGTCTGTGGTGCGGGCTGTAGCGGAGTGCTAGGTGCTTGGGATTGTGCTTGCTGTGCTTTTGCGATGTCGTTTTGCAGGGACGTGCGTTCTGCCGTCAGCGCCGCGATTTCTTCAGAGCTTTCACGGATTTGCCGCAGCAGTTCGTTCAAGTGCTCCTGCGTGAGAGTGGCGACATCGATATGCTCGGCCATTCCGAAGGGCGTCGGCTCGTCATAGTCTAGGCGCAGTCGTGGCTGCACGCGTTTACGAGAGAACGCGAGGAGATCGGCTCCTAGGGGCTAAGGTGCGTGAGTCCCTTTCGAGTGAAAAATCAAAAGTAGATTTCCTGGGGTGCGGAGATGCGCGGTCCGAAAAGAAAGAGGCTCTGATAACCAAGTGTTACGGGTGCAATGAATCGAAGTAGCGAGAATTGCACTAAGGGCGGGTCAAAAGAGTACGTCCGAATGCGGTTCAAAAAGGTGTAGGCTTAATCCAGAGCAGTCTATTTAAAACAAAAGATGGTTGGGTAGGGTTTTTCAGCGAATACGTGCAAAGTTTGACGCGCCCTAAGGTGTCAAACGAGTACAAAAATGTGAGCGAAGGCATGAGCGAACATTTGTACGCGAAAAATGCAAACGGTAACGCGGTGCGTGCGAGCTAGCTATTGCTACGCTGGAAGCGAGGCTCGGGCTAGTCCCGAGGCGTAGGCCGACACGGCCGGTTCAGCAGTGCGAGGTTTGGTAAAACAGTGCGCGCGAAGTCGGCGAAGCCCCGTTAGCGGTAACGGGCGAACAACGGCTGCTGCTGTACGCGATGTTGCAGGGTGCGCTAAGGAATATCGAGAAAATTCCTTACATAGAGCCTACAATACAATCACGGTACATGTTGTGGATCCCTACTAGCAGCAGCCTATGGGAGGGAAGGGCATTCCATCCGAGGGAGGCATCAACCTTCAACACCTTGTAGCATGGTGTTTAGGGTTGATGGCTCCCTAGGATGGCATGCCATCCGATAGAGTTTTTTTTTTTTGCCCACCGGTCAGATCGACGGTCCATAGATGACCGTCGACCTCGTTTTGTTGAGATATTCCTCCAGCCAAGTTGCCAACTCCACAAGAGAAGTGGGAGTTGCAACCCATGGCCTAAAAGAGGAGGTAAGGTTTCAACACCACACCAGAGAGAATCCATGTCCCTCATTGCACATTGTCGATCCTCAAGGCACATCCACATCATCGGAAGTGTTACCGCATGTTTGTGCTCCATTAGGTGTTACGGTGTGTGTAGCATAGACAACCACTAAGTACATAAATGAATGAATGTTACAGCGAGCACAATTTCCATGTGTATAGTAAAAGATACGGACGTCTTGTCACGGAAGAGGCTCCTGCACGTTACTGAGTCGGTTGAGGTGTAGATAGGCATCAGTACCTGTTGGCATTGAAAATGAGGAAAAAAACACAACCAGGATGTGGTATGGTAAGCAAAGAGAGAAAGTGGAAAACCGCAAAGATGCACAATCGGGAACCACATGCTAATCGCGCCATACGGTATGCCCACACCAGATTCTCCTTTTGTTGTGAACTCTTGCATAGAAAAGCACTTGCTTCAGGCACAACAGCTCACCATATCCTTCCATGCTGAATATTTGCAGGTCACCCCCGAAATATCGCGCGTAGAGTCGAGCAATCGGCAACCCGTAACCGTAACCAGCAATAACGCTCGGCAACTCCTCCCCGTCAGCGCTTGCCATCGTGCTCACAGTCACTTCATCCCCCACTTCATCTACTCCCACTCCCCCATTCTCCTCTGTCAAATCCCATGGCTCGGCAAAACTACTGCCTATAGGAGTGAACCGGGATGGGCGGGGGGACGATGCAGCCGAGGAGGCAGGAGAGGAGGCGAGAGAAATGGCAGATGGAGAGGAAGGGGTGGAGGGAGGCGAGGTGCCGGGAGTGGAAGGACCCGAGGGAGCAGGTGAGGGGGGTTGGGGTTCGCTGGGGTTGAGAGGGTTTGGGGGTTGGCGTAGAGGAGTGGGTATGGAAGCTGTACTGTAGAGGTAGGACCAGATGCGAGGCAAGCCGCTGCGCTTGATCCCTCCCCCCTCGTCTGACACCTGCCAATAGCCATGCCGGGGATGGGAAAAACGGGACTAGAGTGAGCATGCTCTGAGAATCCAGTGACAAGGAATGGTTTACGCAACTGGGCAATGGGCATGGTGGGGATTTGGAAAATTTGAGGACGGTGGAAAAGTTGCAAGTGCAGCATAGGGAGGGGCGCAACTGCCATTGGGTTGGTGACAGAGGGAGGCCAAGAAAAGGGAATGGTGGAGATTACAGTCAAGAGACAGACGGACTGACGGACTAACTGACTGACAGACAGGCAGACTGACTTACTGACAGACAGACTGATTGACGGACAGACAGACTGACTGACGGACTGACTGACTGACAGACAGACGGACAGACAGACAGACAGACCTTGATAGCCACGTCCTCGATTCCATCGGCCACCACCACGCGCACTGGCGGTGGCTGGGTGTCTGGGAATCGCTCCTGCACAGCCCTGAGGGAGTTCTTGAGCAGCTCAAACAGCATGTGGTGGAGGTGCGTGCGCACATAGCTGGCATGGGATGGGATGGGGGAAGTGGAAGGGGGATCTAGAGATTTGAGAAGGATCAGTCGCAAGAGACTATGGTGCAGGCGCGGGTGCACACATTGGGTGTGGAATGAAGAGGGGTGTGGCGAAGGAGAGGGGGATGGGGATCACGACGATGTCTTGAGGGGAATGCGGAGTCGGGGGCGGCGGAGGTGGGGGAGAATGGAACGAAGTCATGCAATAACAGCAGAGTGAAGCAGTAAGGTAGGGTAGGGTAGGGCGGGGTAGTGTGGTGTAGGGTAGGGTACGGCGGGGTAGTGTAGGGTAGGGTAGGGGTAGGATAGGGGGTAAGGTAGGGTAAGGTAGGGTAGCGTTATCAACGCACGGGAAGGTGAAGGTGGGGTCCCCAAACACGTGGACCTCGGGAGCATTGCCATAGGTGCGACTGCAGAGCGTTCTGGCGTCATCAATGGCATTCCTGGCCACTTCAAAGGGGCGGCACTTGGTGTCTATCAGCCCGATCATGCTCTCCCTGCCCGGCCCTGTCTTGTGCAGCGCTATCTGCTGCCCTGTGCGTGTGTGTGTGCATGGACGGATGAATGCAAGTAGGCGGGAAGAGGAAGAAAGAGAGGTGCGGTTTTTCAATAGACTAGGAAATTCCCTCCCCGCCTAATGCCCTGTGTGTATCGATGCACAAAGAGAGAAGCAATGGAGAGAGAGAAGCAAGCGAGAGTTCATGCCTGTCTTCCACTTGCTGTGCCGCTTATTATATACAATGAGAAGGACCGTTATAGAAGCAAGCGGGAGAGAGATGCAAGCGAGAGAGAGCAGCAAGCGAGGGAGTAGCAAGGGATGGGGGAAGGGGAGGAGCTGACCGATGAGCATACGGATGCCGATGCGAGAGAGGAAGAAGCGGTCCAGGAACTGATGCACCTCGGGGAACTTGTCCATGGGCAGCCATGGGTTGTCCACCTGCCATGCCATGCCGTGCCATGCCATGCCATGCCATGCCATGCCATGCCAGGAGAACACCATGAATGAGCTGAGCCATGAATGAGATATGAACAAGCCAAGCCAGCACAACCATAGCCCACCCATGCACACACTGTGTTGATAAACACTGCTCAAAATGTCTTTCCAAAGATCCCTGTGTGCTGCAAGCCCCCCATTGTGATGCTGCGCCTTCTCTCCCACATGCAACTCCATCCCCTTATCCACCTCCCTACTCCCCTTCCCGTCCCCCTTTCATCGTCCCCCATCAAGCTCACCTGCAGGCGTTTCTTGAGCTCGGCAATGCCGAGCGCCATGCAGGGCACCATGTGGTTGTGCTTCCGCACCTTGTTCCCCACCATACAACCCCACCCCCTCATCCCCCTCCCCTCCATGCCCCGTTTTCCAGCTCCTTCTCCCCTTCCGTGTGCTCACCTGCAGGCGTTTCTTGAGCTCGGCAATGCCGAGCGCCATGCAGGGCACGGTGTGGCTGTGGCGCGCCTTGTTCCCCCACACACATGCAAGCCCCTCCTCCTGTCCCCCTGACCCCCTTCTCCCTCCTTTCCCTGTCCCCATTCCAACTCCCCATCCTCAAGCTCACCTGCAGGCGTTTCTTGAGTTCAGCAATGCCGAGCGCCATGCAGGGCACGGTGTGGTTGTGGCGTGTCTTGATGCGCTCTATGAGGCGCGTGAACGCCACCTCCTCCTCTGCGCCCTGCACCTCGGGGAAGTTGCGCAGATCCATGAACGACTGCACGTACCACTCCCGCACCTGGTGGGGGGGAGGGGGAGGGAGGGGGGGGGGGGGGGAAGAGAGAGGAAGGGAGAAAAGGAGGGGGAAGAGAGGGGGATAGGGAGAAAGGAAGGGGGGAGGATGGGAGGAACGGGAGGGAGAGAGGATGGCTGATGGTCGGGGCACAAGTGTGTCGGGAGTCGGTGAGAGTCAGCGAAAGTAGATGGTGGTGGGTGCCAGGCACCTCCTCCTCTCCGCGCCCTGCACCTCGGGGAAGCTGCGCGGATCCATGAACGACTGCACATACCACTCCAGCACCTGGTAGCGTGGAGGGGAAGGGGACGGGATGGAGAGGGGGATGGGGCGAGGGAGAAGGGGAGGGAACATGGGGAGCAGAGAGGGGAAGGGGGCGAGAAGGGGAGGGGGGGCACGGGATTGTCATGGCAATGCGTGGCATCGTGTGGCCTGGTTCAGCGTTGCTGCAGGATGGCATGGCTGGCATGGGACCGACAGGTACCTTGAGCACATGGGGCATGTGCAAGAGGCCGTGCGGCAGGTGGTCGAGCTCCGCGATGGTGGTATAGTGTGGCCCAGCCTGGCATTGGTGCCATATGGCATGGCATGGCATGCTGCATGGCATGGCATACCTTGAGCACGTGGGGCATGTGCGAGAGGCCGTGCGGCAGGTGGTCAAGCTCCGCGATGCGGTGCGCGAAGCGGATGGGCAGCTCGTTGTGCAGGAAGCGCGCCGATGCCACCAGCGACGACGCCTCCGTGGGCCGCGGGCGGAAGCTCATCATGTAGCTCAGACTCACGCCCGTGCGCTTCTGATCAGGTCACGATCATGGACGAGCGGACGGACGGATGACGGACGGATTGACGGATGGATTGACGGATGGATTGACGGACATGAGGTGAACGGACGGACATGATGCGGGCGGCGGGCGAAGCAGGGAACGGGTTATGGGTGAGTGCTGTTGAGTGGGCGCGGAAGGCGCGGACGGACGGATGGACAGACGAGGACGGACGGATGGACGGACAGATAGATGGACGGACGGATGGACGGAAGGACGGACAGACGGACGGAAGTGAAGGAACAGGAGCATATAAACTATACCAGGGGAGTGGTGGGGTTAGCGGGAGGAATATATGATGGGTGAGTAATGAGAAGAGTGAAATCGCGAGTCACAGCACTTCTTCTTGGCGCACTACTGCTCCTAAGCTAATCAGAACAGACCAGACAGGACCAGACCGGACCAGAATCTGACCGCGCGCTTCTATGTTGACCAACAATGGTGGCGAGAGGAGGCGAGACGAGGCGAGAAAAACATGTGTTCGTGGCGAGTGCTTTGGTGGGATGAGAGCTTTCGGCGGGGTGTGCGTAAGGATCATAACCGCTTGCCGGGGTTGCTTCCGTGCTGATAGCACGGCCGTTCACAGCGACGCCCTAACCGGGGCGCAAAAAAAACGCTCGTGAAACGCGTGGTGGAGAATGACTCAGGAAATTAGGCGCGCTTACAGCGAGGATTGGTGGTGACGTCATTCGAATACGGAGGACCTACTACTGTTGAAGCGCCTAAGATATATTATTTAGGTGGTGACGTCTTTCGGATTGGTAAGACGTACTTTGAGCGAGCTCCGGTGAATGTCCGCCCAAACGGCGCGCGGAATCGTGTCCGCTAGCCGCCGGAGCGCGGGTAGCGCCTCCCGCGTTGGCCCCATTGCGATGATAGCGCCTCCCGCCTGCCTGCCTGCTGGCCGCCTGCGCTCGAATTACGTTTCAGTTGACTCGACTCGACCTAGATGCAGTAACTTCTCTTTCCTTCCCTTCCTCGATCGTCTCTCTGTCGCTCCACGCTGCCTTCCGCCGCTCGCTCCTTCGCGCCAATTTGCTTCGTCGCTCACCGAATGCGACGACGCACTTGGATCGCACGGTCAGGAACGTCGCGCGCGAGGACACGACCCTACTCGTCGGGACTCTATTCTTCACCCCGCGTCGGAGCCTAGGGAAACGAAGCGCACGTGCAGTGCAAACGATATTAAGCAGGATAAAGAACTGATCTCACATAGCTCCAGGAGAAGTGCAAGTAATATGTACAACGGGGTGAATCAGGATGGAGCAGGTGTAGGTGCTTCTAGGTTCCGCCAGTCTAAGATCGAGGTGGCGGTGAGGTACCTCAATGTGGAGCCCCGAGGTGGTGTCGTTTCAAAGGAGTGTTGCGCGGCCCAGCGGGTTTTTCAGAGGTGCGTGGTTTTCGGCAATATCAAGGCTCGAGGTTGCAGTGTGAATGCGCTGTGGCGGGCTGGACCACACTGAATTCATGAACCAACTGAAAAAGCTGAAATTTATGTACAGTCAACCATCTACATGAGCGTGAGTGCTAGCACAAATACCGTACTAAAATTATACACATCAGTCTTCCCTGTTAAAAGAAAAAAGGCAAATGTCATGTCAAGAGCCGGAGTGCCGTTTGGAGGATATTAGGCGTCCCCGGCCTGGGTATATGCAAAGCAAAGCCCTTATGCTTCTCCTCTCGCTTCACTCCGTTTCCACCCTTAGCCCCTTGCTGCCCCTCTCTATCATAATCCTCCTCCCTCCCACCCCTCCCACTCTCTCTCATACTTCCACCTCTAGATCTCTCCCTTGCCCACATACCTTGCACTTTACTCCTCCTCCCATCCAACACCATCCCCACCTCCTTCCCTCCACTCTCCTCGCCTTCTAGCTCTTCCTCCCACTTCCCACCATCCCCCCCAACCATCCCTTTCTCTCCCCCCACATGCACATCCACCTCCCTACCATCCTCTCCCACACGACTCTTCCTGTGAGCCCCTCCTTTCCTCTCTCCTTTCACCCTCCCCTTGGCCTGTCCTAGGCTGTCCACACTCTCACCCACATCAGCATACGGGCCAATGCCATCCCAAGACATGCGCCTCTGCCCCTTGGCCAACCCCTTGCCACCAACACGACCAGCACTGCCGGGCATCCCAGAACGACCAACCCCACCATCGCCATCAGCATAACCACCACCACCACCACCACCACCGCCACCAGCACCAGCATCGCCATAACCATTAGCATCAGCAACACCATCACCGCAATCAGTATCACCCCCATGGCTACGGCTCTGCCTCAGCCTGTCTTTCCTGCTTCCCTTTCTCGTCAACGCAGGGCTCATCTTCCGCTCATTCCGCTCACCATCCCTGCTTTCCACCCTGCTTGTCTCACCGTCCTCATTCCCCTCGCTCCTGCTGCCATTCTTCCCCCCCATCCACTTGAATGGACTCACACTCCTGCCCTCCTTGCCCTTACCCTCCTTGCTCTTGCTTCCCTTGACTTTGCTTTCCTTACTTTGGCTTGACTCACCCACTTTGCACGATTTCTCCTTAACCCGCAATCGGTCCTCATATTTGTCTGTACCCCTATCCTGAATAGGGTCTTGCAGGAATTTTCGGCTAGTGTTCTCTCTATCTACATCCTCACTCCCCTCCTTCCCCTTCCCGTTCCTATCGGCCTCTTTTTTCCTGGTCTGTTTAGAACCCTTGGCCTCTGCACCTTTCTCCACCACTGCTTGTCCCTCACTCTCCCTGCTCCCTTTCGCCTTACCCTTTCTCTCTTCCCTTCCCTTCACTCCCTCACTATCCCCACTCTTCCCAGCAACACCCATCTTCTCGTTCCCTCTCTCCTCCTCGCCCTTCCTCCTCATCCCACCACCCTTCACTGCTACTCTCCCAGGAATCTCTCTCACGCACGCCTTCCCCCAAGTCACCCGCCGCTTCTGCTGCTTTTCCTCCTCTCCCTCCGCTTCTTCCCACTCCTCCTCCCCTTTTGCCTTACCGCCTGGTCTGCACTCACTGGTGGTATGACTGCGCCTCATGTGCCCTACAAGGGGGGAGGAGCTACGGCTCAAGTTAGAAGAAACGGGTGACCCATTCACTCCTGTTCCGACCGCCCCTGCAACCAGGACTCCTGGTGACATCCCTGCTTCAGCAGCAGCAGCAGCTGCTTCCGTTGCTGTAGCACTAGCTGCATCCAAAGACCCTCCCCTCATGTGCCTCGGCAGGCCATGACCCTGCCCATTGCCTCCACTCCCTCTCCTCTCTCTCCTCTCTCTCCTATCTCCCCCACCCCTCACCTCCTCCTTCTCAACCACCCTTTGCCCATCCTCCGCCTTTTCGTCAACCCATGCACAACCCATCGTACCAACCATCGTCCCATCCTCATACCCTTCCTGATTCTTCCCATCTACCAAATTCTCTTCCTCTAAATCCCCACACTCCTTCCCAGAATCCTCCCTGCCTTCCTTCCGGTACCATCCAGCAACAGACGATGCCACAGGCGCACAGTAGAGATCATCGGCATCTCCAAGGGACGCCCTTCGTACCACCGCCTTCCCTCCTGCTACTCGCCCCACCCTTTCTGCTGAAACTCCTGAAGCAACGGCTGCCAAACTCGCACCAGCAACAACAACATCGGCACCAGCGGTGGCACCAGCAGCAGCAGCAACAGCCCCACCACCATTCCAATCAGCAGCAGCACCACCACTGGCA